ACTTTCAGAAAATAAAAACATTGACAAAGCAAATATCTCCTAATGAAATTGAATGACACTTTAATATTTTTAAAAATAACAAAAACATGTCTTCAAATTTTTGAAAACCCAATTTTGTCCTAATATGTACAATATACATTTTTTTCTAGTTTCAAAAATATTAATGTCACACACAAGTCCAGCATACAATAAGCAAATATGTAGGATTATTTTTTACAAAATTATTATGGCTGTGATTAAAAAATATTGAAAATTGCACAAAAACAGTTGTTACAAAGCCTCTTTAACATTTCTCTTGATTAAATTTAAATAATATTGTGAATACAACTGTGTAAAATTTTAAATGAATAAAATAATTCTATAACTACATGCAAATATAAGCAAATATCATTGAATACAGCTGTTGAATACAGCCATTGGATAACCTACTTTTGTCCAGAATGACGTCAAACTGTAATGACGTCACAACTAGGCAACCACAATTTTTGTAAAAAAGAAAGAAAAAAGAGCGTAACCTATGATGAATTTTAACGTTATTGGTGCTGATGTTTTTTGATAATCTGGATAGTACAGTGTATTTTGAGATTCGCATGTAGTTATAGAATAAAAACAGAACTCAAAGACCATTGAATACTGCTCAAGTTATTGAATTGTTCACTTGAGTGTATCCCTGCCGCATTCCACTTGCTATCGCTCGTAGAATACTTGCGCAGGGATACACTCTCTTAAACCATTGAATAACCTTAGCGGTATTCAATTTATGTTCATTGAGTTCTATCTATCTCTCTTCCTTACTTCTATAAAAACTACATCTGTAATCTAGTTTATAAACAATCAGTTTTAATTCTATATCAATCTCTAGATTTAAAGATGCATTATACAAGATTAAGATAAATAGCTGTCTTGATTTTCAATCTTAAAACATTTAAAGAAGATATACGAAGACATTTTCTAATACACTTAACATCTCGGCTAGCAGATGGTTTATAGCAGTGATTCTCAACCAGTGTGCCACGGCACACCTTCCTAAGTGTGCTGCAAAATTTTGAACGGCGCACTAAGAAAATTTCTCAGCTATGTGACTGATGAAATTCGAAACACTAAAGAAAGTCTAAAGTCAAAAGTCTAAAGAAAGACCAGCGATAGGCAGATTTAGCTCTTACATAATGCATCTTTAAGTATTTTCAAATAAATAATAGCAAGGGATAAAATAATCCAATTAATTATTATTTTCATTGAAAATAAAATATATTATTATTGTTAAGAATAATAGTACAATAGTCTATCTCGGAAACGCAACCAGGGATCGTAAACAAAAACACCATGAAATCCATCATGAATCAATGCTGTGTTTTTAAGAATGATAAATTACTCAATAGTAGCTAACAAGGCCTAAGGACACAAATGTTGTTTTTTTTTAAATGTAAGTAAACAGACGAGAAATGAATGTGTGGAAAATAAAAGTAGACACATTAATGTTATTTTCTGTCTGTGAACCTTGAAAAAAATCATAATATTAGACATAAACAATGTTTTTATCTCGTCAAACCACTTAGTAGATCTATTAAACTTTTCAACCTAAACTAAAAGATGGTAGTAAATACAGTCACACATCCTTTTAACTCAAATCATGCCTGTTCTTTGTTGAAGTGTAAAAATATAATATATTACGGCCGTTTATAGTTTACTATATCCAAAAACCTCACACATTCTTGCAAATAAATGTTTGAAAACTTAAAATTCTGAAATTAGTTGGCAACAAAACTAATGGTTGTTTACGTTTAACGACATTATCAAGAGAATTAATAAAGATCCAAATTTAGCTATTAGTTGGATTATAAGTAGATTAATGACATCACGTTATTTCAACTGGCTTAAAAACAATCTGATGAAAACACAGATCCTATTTCGTTTCGTTTTTATAGTTCAAAATTTCGTTTTACTTGTCTTTACTACACTTGGTTCTGGAAGAGTTATTTAACTCATGTTCTGAATGGTGTCAGGGATAAGCCAATGAAACAGTCTGTTACGGCGAGCTTTAGGCATGTTTTTCACGGAACTGTGGGTAATCCACTAGTAACATCAATGCTAATTGGTTAATGAAATGTCTGACGTCATAGGTCATAAGTCGGTCTTTTGACCCCTGACGTGACCTATCGCTATAACTTGTCAGATCTTCATGTAGTGTAGGCCATCGAAAGTATAAAAAAACGAAACAAAATATAGATCTGTATTTTAATCAGATTGGCTTAAAAAGGCATAATTCAAGAGATAAATCTGCGTATTGCAGGTCTTTCTTTAGATCTTAAATGTTATTTAAATTATTAATTAGACATTAATTAACATGACAAGACCATAATCAACTCTCGATGCCATCAGATGGCTCAGATTTTAAGTAGATTAGAACAGTTTGGCCATTTAATGATTTAATTTAAAAATGGAGAAGCGAGATTAAGCATCTTGTTAAAACTACAAACCGTGATAACGTCGCTCAGAATAAAAAAATTTGAATGAAATTTTCAATATATTCATTTTTCATTATCTATTTTTGAACTATTATAGCATCAATGTCCAGCTCTTTATCGAACTCTTACATAATGCATCTTTAAGCTTTTTACCACTTTAAGTGTTATATATGTAAAAATATTAAAATAAAACGATTAGAATGATTCTACGAACGAACCATTGATAAAAACTTAAGGCAATTCAACTTGACAACTGGTTAATACTCATTTCAACTAGTAACTGTCAAACAATTGCTACACATCTCAAAATAAAGTGATGCCAGCCAACACTCCCTTTCATAATTTCATTTATTAGTGTATAGTAAATATATATATATTCAAAGTATTTTAAAATTTGTCCTATCAAATTCATTCTAATGTCACTACAGGGATACGTTTTAAATTGACAGAATTTCAAAGAATTTTAAAATTTGTCCTATCAAATTTCTTCTAACGACACTATAAGATACGTTTCAAATTGACAGAATTTCAATCGACTGACAAATAAATTAATTTTGTTAGTCTCGATAATCAATATGGTGTTTGTAGAATCGTAACGTCAATATGTTTCAGCTATGTTTTTTACTCAGTCAGCTCATGTGTTGTCGCAAGAAATCTCCAATGTTTCACCTGCTTGTCACAGTTATTTTGATTGAGAGGATTCAATTCCGGAACGTTCAATCGAGTATCCCGTAGGTTTCATAGTGTTGTCAGAATTTTGCAAAAGAGGTTCGGATAAGCACTCACATTGATTTACACTCACACTTGCCCGGATTAATTCTGGGGCCAATTAGGGTTCTCACGACTCGCAGTCAACACCAACTACACTACTACTAGGCTTCAACTCAAAACTATCCAATCATCTGCTGTATAATGCTGCACAAATAACCAATCACAGTCTTTCTATCGCGAAATATTTTCAAAATCAATATCTTCCGGAGGATCATCTTCCGAGCGTTTTGAATCTTTTTTCATAAAAATCCATGGAGCACTAAGACGATTAGATTTACTGTTCGGACGATCACTCGACGTGCTGTTATGCCGGCTGCGGCTCTTGACAGGGGTCGAGGGTAAACTTATCGTTGCGTTAATATTTTGGCCGGGTTCGAGAAAGTTTTTATCCAATGGTGTTATTAAACGAATGTCAAGTTGACTGCCCGCTTTACGAACAAACTGTACAACTTCTTCATGTTTCGCCCACATTGTATCTGTGTCACTAACGCCGACGACAAAATCACCAACTTTCATACTGCTACGCTGTAAAGATGAGAAATAATAATTTTAGAAAATTTAAATTTGGGTCCGAGTACGAAACTTTCTGAATTGCTGAGACACAGCAACGATCTGAAAACTAGATAACAGCAGATAATTCTATTATCTCTGGCTTGTGATCATGGTTATAGTGTCAGCGTATGAGGCTTGGAGACAGGGGTGCCTTCTCGACCTTGTGGGTTTACTCTGGGTACTCTAGTTTCCTTCCACCCTGCAAATGTGCTAAGCAAGATAATAAAAAATTGTCTGCGGTATCACTTGACAAGGACAGCTGTCTAGTCATTTGGATGGGATGAAAAACTGCAATCCCGTGTATACATTGGTGTGCACGTAAAAGATCCCTTGGCAGTTGGAATTCAATGTAAGAGTAGGCAATAGTGCCACTGCCCGGGCAAAATTTCCTTCATAGACCAGTCGGAGCAGAACAGTAGGACGTTAAACCCTATTCCATTTTATTTTTGTCTGCGGTATCACCCTCGGTGGAAGAAGACATTAAACCTTTATTGAAGAGAGAGAGAGAGAAAAATGGAGTTTAACGTCCAATCGACACAAACTAGGTCATTTCGGGACTAACATATGGTTTTTAATTTTATTTCAATAATTCGCTTGCGCATAGGGGTCTTTAGCAGTGGGAGGAAACCGGAGGACCCGGAGAAAACCCACGAGATTGGACAGGCGACCCTACTCCTTGTCACGTACAACCGGGGATTTGAAACCACACCAGTTGACTCAATGACAGGCTTTATGATACAGCACGCACATGCTATTCATTCGGCCATCCACCCCCCCCCACCTTTATTGAAGAAGAATCATGATAGTTTAAATGCCTGTTGTCGGGTCTGTTTGGAAGCAGAATTCCCTGCACCTAACCCTAACCCTAACCCTTGAAGAGTCGATTGTCAAATTCCCCAACCATTCTGAATATGTTCTCACAATTTTTGACTCTTCCTCAACAAGTCTTAAAATATTCTCACAATTTGAACGTCATCTTGGTAATAAAGGAACTGTTCATATTAAAAACCCACAAAGGAAATCTAAACAATATCTATAATAAAACAACTTACTCCTGCGACACTGTCTGGTTCAATATCCGCTATAATAACAGGGGAATCCCCTCGTACACTGAAACCAAATCCTTGTCCTTGATCCCGATTTAACGAGACCAATCGAGGGGGAGACCATTCATTTTTGGCATTAAATATAGAAATAGGACCCTGAAAAACATCAAACATTAAATATAGAAATAGGACCCTGAAAAACATCCAAACCAAAACTTTATCAATTTACTGTAGAAATTCTTAACCTAGGATTCCAGGTGAATGTATGTATAAAGTAGATAAAGTACAATTAAGTACTTATATGTTTACGGTAGATAAATACATAAGTAAATAAAAAACACGTCCAGGTAAAAAATTCTCCATTTTACTTCATTCTGACATACATTAAATCATATAAGCTAGCTGTCTGCCTTCTATGGCCGTCTTCAGATATTAATAATGTATACAAAATTTTGAAAATACGATACATATATATATGTATATACATTCTTAGAATAATAAAATTTGCATGACAATGGATTGTAAATAATATTAGGTAACATATAACAACAGATTAAAAATATATAATACATAACATAGTCTTCCTGGTATAGTTTGACAACAGTCTATATGGGAATAGTTTGACAACAGTCTATATGGGAATAGTTTAACAGTGGTCAATACAGGAATAATGATATGAAATAAATGTTCATAGACCAATTATTTAATCTGGCTATAAAACTTAATCTTTCATCTTTGTTATATTTATAGCACAGCTTTCAAGATTTAATAGGTTTAACCAGAGGCCGTAGGCTGAGGTGTTAAACCTGTTAACGAATAAAGCGTACTATAAATAAATTGTAACATTGACACCTGCTCAACATGCTTGTTGTTATTGCACAGAAAACCCACCCCACTTCTCTATATGATTTCTACTAAAACTAGTGTAAACCAGTAAAAGTGTGCAATAACATTGAACATGTCTAGTTATTGCACGGTTAAGCTCCACCCAATCTATTAGAGGGAAAACAATCTGCTTATTCAACGAAAAGAACAAAGGAAGATTTCCCTGTCCATGTTACAATCATATATATACGTTGTGTGATAATTGTTGCCTGACAATGTCTGTCTCAAGTGTAAATGTCTAAACTTGCACTTGACAGGTGTAAATTAAATATATTACACTTACTAATCGTTTGAAGATATCTGTAACTTTAACTTTAGAGAATTCTGGAGTGACTGAAACAACATCATTTTCAGATTTACCCTGTATTCTGGCCACGGTTACCAGATCAGAAAAATCATCTTCTTCTTCTAGAGCGGAAAACTTCTTTAAAGCTCTGTGAAAATAAAATTAATAATAAATATATATTTCACATTAAATAAACTTCTGCTCCTATATTGGGCTAATGAAGACGAGCATATGCCATACAGTGTGATATGTGGGAAATTTTCCCCAGACAGCAACACTACGGCCTACTCTTGTATCGAATTCCAACTGCCAAGGGATATTTAACACGCACACCAATGTACACACCCAAACGACTAGACAGCTGTCCTTGTTAGGCCCTCCGTCCTGCTACACTGACAAGGGGAAACTACGTCGGAAATTCCTGATGAACTTTCTCGGCCAATGCAGGGATTGAACACGCAATCTCCAGGCTAGCGAGCCAGCGCCTTACCCACTTAGCCACCGTGGCTTCTAAACTTCTTTAAAACTCTTTATGTAAAAAACATATAGCATTAATAAATTAAACCATTTGTTCCTTTATATATATATTTCACAATAAATGAATGTGCAGATCTAGCAATTATTATATGACTGTGAAAATGCTTTCATGAATCTTTCAGGTTGAAATAGAGTCTTTCAACTTCAAATCAAATACAATCTTTCAGCTTCAAATAGATTTTTTCAACTTCAAATAGGCACTTTCAGCTTCAAATAGAATCTTTCAGTTTGACTGAATCTTTCAGTTTAAAATGGAATCCTGTAGAATATGGAAAATATTTATGCCTACCTTTCATGTGTTTTTTGTAAAATATCCCCGAAATGATCAACCTTTCTTAGCTGCTTACACAAGTCATGTACACGCAGTGCCTCTTCGTGACCTAATACTGATTCCTTTAGATGAGCTTTTCCAAGAATTTTTCTATCTTCACTGTTTGTGGGTAATTTTAGTCCGTTGTTTTCATCACGACCTTCGGCGCCGATCAATAAACCTTGAAACATGGTCTTTAACTTTTCAATATCATCGCTATCTGTAAATATATAAATATTTCCTTTGTGTTTAACATTTTAAAACTGTTGTTTTACGTTATATGTATTTTAATTGAAAAGAGCGCCCTGGAGCAGCTTCTTTGCTGGAACACTCAGCGCTATACAAATTGTTTATTATCAAAGGAGCATTATGGGAAATTATATAAAGAGCTGGCAGTTCTCACTATAATAGTTAAAAACTAGATAATGTAAAGGGAATTTGCTGAAAATTTGAAATTTGAGTCAAACTGATCCGCTCTGAACCGAGAATTTAGCGATTGAATTTTACGCTTAGCCTCGATCGTCAGTACTAAAGTCGGTACGATAAAAAACATAGTTCTGATTATCCATATTTGGATTTAATCATCAATGAGTGTTGAGCAGCAGATCTGATTCAAATCCAGTGAAAATCCGACACATAAAGATGGCATCAAGAGTTGATTATGGTCTTGTCATGTTAATGAATGTCTAATAAGAATTTAGATAACATTTCAGACCTAAAGAAAGATCTGCAATAGACAGATTTAGCTTTTGCATAATGTATGTTTAAATAAGATGGCATTGAGTATTGATTATGGTCTGGATAAGTTAATTAATGTCTAATTAATAATTTAGAGGTCAGCAGGAGGGGCTGATTGGGAGAATGGGTTTTGTGAAAAAAAAGACAGCCAAGTAAAATTCAGTATGAAATCAATGTTATTAAGAAAATGGATGACTATTACTAACAGGCATGGCAATCACCTTACTACAGGGTGTGCACAACTCAGAACACTTAAAATTCCAGGAGTTATTTACCAGATTCCAGGAGTTCCTGTATAGAATTCTACCGAAGACGAGTCAATTTACGGCGACCAACTCGTGAAGTTTTGAAGAAACATTCAATGACTACGTTTAGTTTTATATCTTAAAATATATAGCGAAACCACAAATGTTAATTTTCCTGTGGTTTCAAGCAGTAATCTTGTTTTTCCAGGATTTTCCAGTACTGGAAATCACATTTTCATTTTCCCTGAATTATTAAGGATTTTCAAGGAGTGTGTGAAACATGTACAATGGGTTGATGTTCAAACACCACAAATATTAAAAATCTAACTGAACAGAGTCATAGGAAATCAATCAATTGGCTTCTACATACACAATGTGTGTAGATGATGACTATCAGATTGATAGAATCAATGAAAATATAGAATTTATGAAAACTTAAACCAATAATTACCCTTCTGATCGAGTAAGCCTGTAGCTATATAATAATGTGCCAGGCCTTTATAAAAGTAGTGTTTTGTCTGGGCCATTGAAATCCATGAAAAGGGGATATAACTCTTCACCAACTCACTGAGCATCAATCTGTGGGTTTCACGATATTTTTCTGATACCTACAAAAAATAAACAGACAAACGATATTTATCTATTGCTATGACAGGCAATATCAAGGGCAATAACTCTGGAAGATATTATCAGAAATCATTGCTATTCATCATGTTTTATCATTTCAATAATGTTGAGAATACACATAAACCTTTCAATGATTGGATGATTTTAAATGTCTCTAGAATGTGGATAACAGAGAGATGACGGCAATATACGTTTTTATTTCTTGTGAGTGTAATAGGGGTCTGAGGGCTCCCTCCCGACCCCACCCACCTTTCTCTACTAGCTGCTATAAGGCTTTCCCACCTTTATTAGTAGCTAACAATGCAGCTTCTTGTACTATTCCAGTATTAAAAGCTAAATATCCCTTCTACTCCCTAATAACCCTTTCCAACTCCTCCGTCAACGTTATTAGTACCTACCAATATCCCTTCTACTCCCTAATACCCCTTTCTCAATCCCCCGTCAATGTTATTAGTACCTACAAATGTAGTTTCTACTAACCCTTTCTAACTCCCCTGTTAAAGTTATTAGTCATCTTCTACTAACCCTTTCTCACTCCCCTGTTAACGGTATTAGTACCTACCAAGGTAGTTTCTACTAACCCTTTCTAACTCCCCCGTCAACTTTGTAAGTACCTACCAATGCAGCTTCTACTACCACTTTCTACCCTCCCTGTTAACGTTATTAGTCAGTTTCTACTAACCCTTTCTAACTCCCCTGTTAACGGTATTAGTACCTACCAATACAGCTTCTACTAACCCTTTCTAACTCTCCTATCAACATTATTAGTGTTAATTGACCACACTATATTAAATTCAATGGCATTAGCCCAGTTTAGGAGCAGAACAGTAGGACGTTAAACCCCATTTCATTTCATTTCTATTTTATTCTCACTTCAATTAGACCATTACAATACCCATGTTCTAGCTTCGATGTACAGGATACTTGTGCACGCTTTACCATGACAACTAGATCTATGGCTGTACACACATATCATTACTATTCATATATATTCAAAGGTCATGAATATTCATGTTAACGTTATTAGTACCTACCAATGCAGCTTCTTGTGCTATTTTAGTATTAGCTATTATTCCATCTTGGACGGTCTTCATGATAAACTTCTCTAAAACACATTCCTGGGCTTGTGCCTAAAACACCAAATAAAACACCATTTACATTTTTAGGACAATATCTAACTTTTCATGGCTTTATCCACGCAAAAATATTATCTAATATATATAGATTTATTGACATTTAATTAAAGATGCATTATTTAAGATTTAGATAAAGAGCTGGGTGTTCTTGCCATAATAGTTCAAAAACAGATAATGGAAAATGAATATGTTGAAAATTTCAGTCAAATAGTTTAGAGAGAGAGAGAGAGAGAGAGAGAGAGAGAAATGTGGTTTAATATCCACTCGAAACAAACTAGGTCATTTCGAAACTAACACATGGTTCAATTTTATTTCAATAATTTGCTTGCGCATAGTGGTCTTTAGCAGTGGCAAGAAACCGGAGGACCTGGAGAAAACCCATAAGGTTGGACAGGTCGACCCAACTCCTTGTCATGTACAACCGGGAAATCGAAACCACGCCAGTTGACTCAATGACAGACCTTATGATACAGCTCGCACGTGCTAACCATTCGGCCATCTACCCTCTCCGAAAAAGTTATATGTTTAGTTACCTGCATCAAGGCTGCTAACATCGCAAGAGTCTGCGGTTGCATGTCCATACTTGGTGCATTACGAAAATGACATTCCAGATGGAGAAACGCTCCTGCAGCTTTTACAAAATATTTAATGGAGCCATCTAATCCAGATATTATCGTACGATCCTGTAATAAAACAATTTGAAAATTTAACAATCAGTGTGTGTACTAACTATAAAACAAAACGGGACAGTAATTTTAGAAAAATGATTTCAAGACCTATTGTTGGTTGGGTGGGTGGGGAGGGCGGCGGTCTATGAATAGTCCCATTCCCCAGTCCCCCAGGTAAATTTAATAGCCCTCACCTGTTTCAAGCCCAACAAAATATGAGGTGCAGAAATGCCAGCGTGGAAACTGTGGTACTTGCGAATATCTTATCGAAGGACCGTCAATCACCTTTAAACGTCACGGGACATTTAGCGTGAATGCAAATTTAACATATGAATCACGAAATGTGATCTATGTCATAACTTGCCCGGGCTGTACAGGGCAGTATATCAGTCAAACAGAATATTTGAGATCAAAAGTTGCTGTACACAAATCACAGTTAAAGAATCCAGAATATCGCATGATATCTCTTAGCGAGCATCTGGACATATGTACACACAACTTTAATATTCCCGTCCTACCAGCTCCTAAATGATTGCGCAAAACAGAGCCCTTATTCATGAAAACTTAAACTAAGATACAATTGAAATTTTAAGAAATACTGCAATTCGATTGGCTGACCAGTAAAATCAATTTGCATATTGGTCAGCCAATCGAATTGCAGTATTTCTTAAAATTTCGATTGTATCTTAATTTAAGTTTTCGTCAATAAGGGCCCAGTTAAAGAGGAACATTTCATACACCAATTTAGACCTCTGCTAAACAAATAAAATAGCCTAATTGATCTCTTTTTGACAAGTAGATAAATGAATAGTGTGTATATACATATTATATTTGTTTATTCAATCATCACTATTCATTCATTTATTCATTCATTCATGCAATGTAGTGTACCTCCATTGTGACATCACAAGGAAATGAAATGAAATGAAATGAGGTTTAACGTCCTACTGTTCTGCTCCTATACTGGGCTAATGAAGATGGGCATACGCCATACAGTGTGCTATGAGGGAAATTTTGCCCGGGCAGCAGCACTGTCGCCTACTCTTATATCGAATTCCAACTGCCAAGGGATCTTTTACGTGCATTCTAATGTATACACGGGACCTCGGTTTTTTGTCTCATCCGAAGGACTAGACAGCTGTCCTTGTCAGGCCCTCCGGACATCACATAGGTAACCTTGCAACATTATATATAAGCAATGGCTTCCTGATGAAATTATATTGAAACATGTAGAAGCAAATCGGTGTTATTTAAATATATTTTATACTATAATATATAATACTGTACATTAGAACAACTGCTATATATATAAAGATAGTTTACCTGTTTACAAGCTAACTGTGTATATAAGGCACCAATATTGTATAAAACACAGCCTTTCTCAAAACCTATAGCTTTCTGGGTACTGGGAACACCTGATAACGAGTCATACCTGTAACAAAACACAAATTAAAATCTAGTTGAATAACCAGGTAATTTTAGGTCTAACATGTGATATACCATTAATTAATTGATTGGATGTGGGAGGAAATCAAGATGTAAGGTAGATGACCCCGCAAAATGAAAGAAGGTTATGAATGTTGGCAAGAAACAGTGTACATAGTCTCAATTGTCAAGTACCATTGCTACGGTAATAAACGAAGTCTTGATATCAATTTTAACTTAATATCATTAAATGGCACTGATGTTCTAATCCATTCAATATATCCATCATCCGATGGTCTAGAGAGATGATTATAGGCTTGTCGTAGGAATATATGTCTAAATCATAATTTATGTAACATTTGAAGCCGGCAATAGGCTGATTTAGGTCTTACATAATGTATCTTTAATATCCATAATAGAGAGAAAGAGAGATGAAATGAAATGGGGTTTAACGTCCTACTTTTCTGCTCCTAACCTGGGCTAATGAAGACGGGCATACGCCATACAGTGTGCTATGAGGGAAATTTTGCCCGGACAGCGGCACTACGGCCTACTCTTATATCGAATTTCAACTGCCAAGGGATCTTTTACGTGCACGCCAATGTGTACACGGGACCTCGGTTTTTCGTCCCATCCGAACGACTAGACAGCTTTCCTTGTCAGCCCCTCCGTCCTGCATCACTGACAAGGGAGAACCACGCCGGAAAAAGGGAAAGAGAGAAATGGGGTTTAACTAAGACATTTCGGGATCTAACATATGGTTCAATTTTATTTCAATAATTCGCTTGCGTGTAGGGGTCTACACTAGTGGGAGGAAACCGGAGGAGCTGGAGAAAAGCCACTAATTTGGACAGGTGACCCTACTCCTTGTCACATACAACCTAGGAATCGAAACCACACCACTTGACTCAATAACAGATCTGCAGATCTAACGCACACGTGTTCATCATTAGGCCCCTCAGTTCCCCCCCCCCCTCAACACCTATAATAATTTTAAAGTTTAAGCATACCAGTGAAAGTGAATTGACAAATGTTTATCTGTGGGAAAAAATCTTTTTTCGATATAATAAAGTTGATTAAAATATTCAATCAACAAATCTAGACCAGCTGTATCACGTATTGGTGTACGGATTGCCTGAAAGGAAAAATACAGAAAATATACTATTAACAGATATAGACCTGTCGTATCACATATTGGTTTACGGATTGACTGAAACGAAAAATACGAAAAATATTTAGAGATATTTAAACTGCAAGTCGATCTAATTAAACACAGATCCTATTTTGTTTCGTTTTTATAGTTCAAAATTTTGTTTTACTTGTATGAACGAGTTGTTATATAGCATGCGTTCTGGTTGATGTGAGGGATTAGCCAATGAAATGGTTTGTTACGGCAAGTTTTTGGCGTGAGTTGCATGAAACTGTTGGTAACCCACTAGAAACGTCAACACTAATTGGTTAATCAAATGTCTGATGTCATAGGGTCAAAAGTCGCTCGTACAACCCATGACGCAACCTTTTACTACAACCGGTCGGATCTTCAGTTGTGTAGGGCATTAAAAGTATAAAAGAGACGAAACGAAATGTAGATCTGTATTTTAATCAGATTGAGACCTTATTTATAAACAACAATATCTGTCTTACTATATCTACACAATCACTTTACACCACCACATATTATATTCAACTACTTAAGTATTAATTTCAAATTCCCTTATATCATATACATATATAGACTGTTCAGTTTACTAAATACTTATTGAAACATTGCACCTGTGTATAATAACCCATTGATTGCTGTCCTATATAATTATTTTTATTTCTGGCTTACAATGTGTCAATATACTTTTTAATGAATAATAATAATAGTACATTCTTATATAGTGCATTCTAAAACATAACAATTTATACAGTAAAAAGCATGGCACATTTTCAACATGCTTTACAAAATACAATAAGTATGGTAATTCTACCCTACCTGCGTAATTCTATTCTGTGTAATTTTACCTGTGTATTTCTATCTGTGTATTTCTACCTGTGTAATTCTACCTGTGTTATGTCTAATTCTACCTGTGTTATTCTACCTGTGTTATGTCTAATTCTACCAATGTAATTCTACTCTAATTCTACCTATGTAATTCTGCCTGTGTAATGTGTAATTCTACCTATGTATATCTACCTGTGTAATGTCTATTTCTATATGTGTAATAATGTATTCTACCTGTGTAATTCTACACTTACCTGTCTAATAAGGTGTAATTCTTGTAGTTCAGATTGGAACAAGGCAGGATCTACACTGTAATGTTCTAATAGAAAATCCTGTAACAAAAAAACAAATACATAAAGTATTCTATGAAACATAAACTCATCAAAACATATTATTTCTCAGTTTTGATTTATTGCTACAAAAGAAGTTAAGATTTCGGGGAGAGAAATAGGGTTTAATGTTCAATCAACACATACTAGATAGTAGTTGCAGGTCTAACATAAGGTACAATTTTATTGTAATAATTCACCCTACTCCTTGTCAGGTAGAAACAGCGATACTTGACTCAAATGATCTCAAGCACCCCCCCCCCCCCCCAATAGGGTGAGTACATGTAGATATATATATTATTATTTTCATTGTACTGTAGGGACTGAAATAAAAGTGAAATATCTCAAGGTCACCATGAAATGAAAGTACTTTTCTGCACCAACTGGGGTAGCTTATTTTATAAAATGGCCAATTAAAAATATTCAACAAAATCGCAGGACACTCTTCCTGACAATAAAGTCTTTTATCTGAACTCACTGTATATCAGAGATAGAGAGAGAGAGAGAGAGAGAGAGAGAGAGAGAGAGAGAGAGAGCATTAGGCCACCAACCCTCACCAATGCAAAGAACATGATTGTGTGGTCGTTGTCATAGTGAAGATCTATTTAATTATCATACCTGTATCGGAACAGAACAATCAACTTCTGTTGTCTCTTTCAAACCAAGTGGTATCATAGGTACACATTTAGAACAACTGAAATATGTAGAAATAAATCACATTATTGACGTGTAGCTGATTCACATAGATTTCTGTAGAATACATTCTTCAAAATAAAATTTTATCAGACATTGAAATAAAGAAATGCCATCAATTCTTGAAGCTCTATATGACACCTTTTAATTAACAATAAAGTCAAAGGCAGTAAACAAATTGTGTCTTTTCTTTGTTTAGAGGTCACCAGAAAAGCTTCATAATTTTTTTAAATAATTAAGTAATTATGTCAACATACAAATGTACAAGTATCCTTTCCATAAGTATAACATCTTCCCGAATGTCAATGTTACCTGCCACAGGTAAATTTCAACGTTAGCGATTTCCGCAGTTCTCCGTGAGTAGTCATAACGTCTGCTAATAAACAAGCTGTGATGTCATTTTAGTCCTGATAAAGCCTAAATTTGTGCCTGAAAATGTCGGTGACAGGTGCCTCATGTCAAGGCTTGAACGAAATATATAATGTTTACCATCACAAAAATTAATCATGTAAATAACCCCAAAAATACAAGAAAACAAGAAAACTCTACATCCTGCGTCTGTGTACACCAAAAAATACCTTATTTACCAATTATTATATTTTCTAGACGGGATTATTCTGATAATTAATGTTAAGCAAATCAGGTCTTTTCCCAGTTGGCTAAGAGCTTTCGTGACAAAGATATCATAGCTCAAAACTTTTCTGGGACTTAATACGATTCCATGGAAACACCAGGCCCTGACTGATAATCAGTTACTTACTTGTGATGTTGTCATGGAAACACCAGGCCCTGATTGATAATCAGTAACTTACTTGTCATGTTGGTAGATATGTACGGAACTGTTTAACTCTGCTAACTCTTCTTTTAATAACTGGATGTTAGAGTTGAAGAAAGATAACTCCACAGCAACCTGTTCACGTAGTTTCTTGTTTCCAGTAGCTCTGAAAAATACAATAATGTAATTGATGAGATCTAATTGCCCTAGTCTGTCCATGTACGGTCGTAGGTAATATCAGGATCCTGTTTTGTTTCACATGCCAAATAAAACTTTGGTACATGTAGATCTCACATTTTACTGGAGGAAAGAAATGGAGTTTAACGTCCTACTATTCTGCACCAACATGGATGCTAATGAAGACGTGCATACACCATACAGTGTGCTACAAGGGAATTCTAATTTTAATCAGGCAATCCTACTCTGTGTGTCAGGTACAAGCCTGGATTGAAACCACACTACTTGACTCTGACAGAAATTAAATGAAATGGGGTGTAACGTCCTACTGTTCTGCTCCGTTTAAATTTGAATCGCTAATTCATCTAGGTTCAGAGTGAAGCAATTTGACTGAAATTTTCAGCATATTCTGTTTTCATTATCTAATTTTTTTAAAACTATTATAGCGAGAACTATCAGCTCTTAATCTAATATAACATAATGCTCCTTTATTTTTTTGTTAGATGTACATATAAATCTATTTAAACCCTCATGTACATGTACTTTATGAATGGTGCGTGAAAGGATTCCCAGGAGCCTCCATTCTGTGTATAAATTCTACACAGAGTTTCCCTTCATATTGTTGACAGACAGGTTGATAAAGTTAAATACTTAATTCAATAAGCCACTGGAGATCAATCAACAGAGTAATCTATAGTCAATACTTATTATATTTATATTATGATTAGGCTATACCAATTAGTGATTAGATTTATGTGATGAAAGCTGAAAGACAGGGTCAAACCTTCTACATGTATCTTCATCAGTCAACCAGCCCGGAAAGTAAACATTTACCCGGAACCCTCTTTCATTTCTGTCCAAACCAGAGAGAGAGAAATGGGGTTTAACGTCCACTCGACACAAACTAGGTCATTTCGGAACTAACACATGGTTCAAATTTATTTCAAGAACCTGCTTGCATGTAGGGGTCTTTAGCAGTGGGAGGAAACCGGAGGACCCGGAGAAAAGCAACGAGGTTGGTAGTCCAAACCAAATGTGATTAAATGGAAGCCAAACCCATTTAATGTTTAGTCCCAAATGATTTTGATAGAAATGGGGTTTAACATCCACTCGACACAAACTAGATCATTTTGGGACTAACGTATGGTTCAATTTTATTTCAATAATTCGATAGCGCGTAGGGAGGGGTCTTTAGCAGTAGGAGGAAAACGAAGGAGGACCCGGAGAAAACCCACTAGGTTGGTCAGGCGACCCTACTCCTTGTCACATTCAATCAGGAAATAGAAACCACGCCACTTGACTCAATGACAGACCTTATGATTTCATGCGCACACATTAAACCAATAGACCACCCAGTTCCCAACCAAAAACTAAAAACAAACTAATTGTGGCCTTAAAAGCAGTTTGATGTTTAACGCCATACAATATTGGTCTGGATATAATAGTCTATTAAACATAATCAATAGTCTTTATACAAACAATATTAGTCTGGATGTAATAGACTATTAAACATAATCAATAGTCTTTACACGGACAATAATCAGCCATTGTTAACGGCCAATAATTACACAGGAGTGGCCAAACATTAAATCAATTATCTTTATCATCTATGTAAACAATATGACCTGCTCTCGAGAATGACGAAATGAAATAGGTTTTACTTTACGTACATAAGCCATGCAGTGTGTTATGAAGGAAATACGGCAGGACTGCAGAGCTACGGCCGACTCCAATTTCGAATTCCAAAAGGCTCTTTTATATGCAATCCAACAGGTACATAGGACCCTGAATTCCAACTGTCAAAGGCTCTTTTATGTGCAATCCAACAGGTACATAGCGTCCTGTTTTTGTTTTTTTTATCCCATCCGATCGACTAGATGTTTTTCTTTGCCTAGCCCTCCATCTTGTACCACTGATAACAGGAAGCATGCTGGGAAATCACACAGAACTTTCTCGGCAAACACCTGGATCTAACCCCCGGACCTCCTTATTTTTCCTTTCAGTCAAGAGGGGTTGGATGGCCGAATGGTAAGCATGTGCGTGCTGTATCATAAAGCCTGTCATTGAGTCAACTGACGTGGTTTCGAATCCCCAGTTGTACGTGACAAGGATTAGGGTAGCCTGTCCAACTTTGTGGGTTTTCTCCGGGTCCTTCGGTTTCCTCCCACTGCTAAAGACCCCTACGCGCAAGCGAATTATTGAAATAAAATTGAACCATATGTTAGTCCCGAAATGACCTAGTTTGTGTCGAGTGGATGTTAAACCCCATTTCTCTCTCTCTTTTTTTTACTTTAAGACCAATATTTTTTGGAATAGTTACAGCAGTCTAATTGGTTCTTTTTTTGGGACCAGGAACTGATCGCTAACGGCTACTCATCTTGTTCTTCTTGGGATGCCGCTCTTTGAAAAAACCTAAGGCTCCGTCAATTTAAGTCCGATCGACAGTAAAATTGACATGCTTCTTCTTTGAACAATTCGGCACCGATTTGGTTAATTAGATTTTTGAATTTCAAGCAACAACATGGTCAGTTTCTGGTCCATAGTACGATTGTACTTGTTTACCTTTGATGGCCACTAGAAGTAAAACAACTTGAAATTTGGAATTGCTAAAAACCCTAACCAGTTAATACATTAAAATATATAAATCTGCCTATTGCAAGTCTTTCTTTTGGCTTCAAATGTTAAATAAATTATTATTTAAACATATATTAACATGTCAAGTTTATAATCAACTGTTTAGGTCACTCGATTACAAAGATTTAACGATAAAAAATGAAATGAAATGAAATGGGGTTTAACGTCCTACTGTTCTGCTCCTATACTGGGCTAATGAAGACGGGCATACGCCATACAGTGTGCTATGAGGAAATTACACGGGACCTCGGTTTTTGGTATCATCCGGAGGACTAGACAGCTGTCCTTGTCAGGCCCTCCGTCCTACATCACTGACAAGGGGGAACCACGCCGGAAAATCTGGACGAATTTTCTCGGCCAAAGCAGGGATCGAACACCCGACCTCCAGGCTAGCGAGCCATCGTCTAACCCACTTAGCCACGTGATCCCCCGATAATAAATGATCTATGCCACATCTTCAAACAGTCATGACTACGCGCAGATAAAAGTAACGTGACTGAAATTGTCAATATATTCCTTTTTCATTATCTATATTTAAACTATTACAGCGAGAACAACTGGCTCTTTATCTAAATATTACATAATGGATCTTTAAGTTTACACAAGTCAACAGATTTAGCTGGTATAAGATGCATAGAATCTGAAGCTTGTGTTTAACTTAGGATTTAAGACTTGTGTATGTAAATATATTATAGTTTTATACAGATATACATGTAGAACAACTGTAGCATACTGTGTTTAAATATAGATCAACTGTTAATATAGGTTTATGGTGTTGAGAATATATGTCAAATTCACACACATGCTGTATAGGTCTATCTGTGTGTTAGAGTGTATATCACCCTTCAGATGTTTCCTACATAACAACATATTATTACATAAGCATTTTAGTCTTTTAACATAGATATAACAGGGCATTATCTATATACACTCGATCATTATCCATGTATCTAATGGTCAAGCCTAGAAATAAGGCACCTGTCACTGACAATGTCAGGCACAGATTCAGGCTTTGTCAGGCACTAAACCTCTGGTGCCTGTCATTTTGTTAATACACGTCCAGCATTAAGTTGAAAATGTCAGGTACTAACTATTTCATTAGTGCCTGACATTTTGTAAGGTACATTTAAAACCGTTATTTCACTCTATATACAATCATTATTCATGTATCTAATGGTTTATGTCAACTAGTAGACTATTGCCATTGAAGAGACGACCACTATCAAGATTGGTCGCATTATTTCTGTTATGTCTTTTTTTGTAAATCATTTTTTTCTTTTTTAGTGAAGCCTGTACCATAACAGGCCCGGGACTGTACAGCACAGTGAACGTTAACGGCTGGCCCCCGGATCCATTCACTTGATTTGATATTTGTTTATTTGGTACAATATTACAATGTCTATTTTCTATCTTGTCCGAGGGTTTATCTTGTAGATTTTTGTTTTGTGTGTAGTGTGGTCCTCCTGGACTTACTATTAAAGCATAGATATACAGGGCATTATCTATATCCACTCAATATCCATGTATCTAATGGTTTAGAGCGTTAGCTTATCATTTGAATAAATGTCTTAATAATAGTTTATATAATAATTGAAGCCAGAAAAAACATCCTGCTATAGGCATATTTAGTTCTTTAATTCAGGAAATATTGTCGGGGGTTGGATGGCTGAATGCTTAGCGTGCGCGCGCTGTATCATAAAGTCTGTCATTGGGTCGACTGGCGTGGTTTTGAATCCCTGGTTGTACGTGGCAAGGAGTAGGGTCGCCTGTCCAACCTTGTGGGTTTTCTCTGGGTCCTCCGGTTTCCTCCCACTGCTAAAGACCCCTACACGCAAGCGTATTATGTAAATAAAATTAAACCATGTGTTAGTCCCGAAATGACCTAGTTTGTGTCGAGTGGACGTTAAACACCATCTCTCTCTCTCTCTCAGAAAATATTGTCTAGAAGAAAACGACAAACGACGATCAGTGGCTTTCAAGAGGAAATAAATCAACACAATCCATCTTTCACCGTTCGAAAATTATATGAGATATGATCAATAAATAAACATACTAAACTTAGGCTGCCTGTCTACAGTTAGCTCCGCTTGAGAACAGACACTAAGCTAGTGGACCGACATTTTAATTCCTAAATCGACCGATTTTAGTCGAAAACACTAAGTAAACTTTTGATTATATGTGAACGATCTGACCATACTAAACTTAGTCTGCCTGTCTACTTTTAGCTCCACTTGAGAACAGACACTTAGCTAGTTGACTGACATTTTAACTCCTAAATCGACGATCTTAGTCGAAAACACTAAGTATATTTTAAGAAATTTGAGAAGTATTTTTTCTGCTTCCATTTAATAAAAT